TAAAGCTTGAAACCTTCGGAGTCACAGCTAGCAAGTCTACGGCATTCAAAACAGCCCCCAAATACGATGGAGCAGTAGGGTCCCCCTCCAAAGCTTTCATCAAATCTTTCTTGAAGAACTGAGCCTTAACCTTCGTCAAAGCCTCATCGAGAGGAGAAGTCTCAGTGGACTTCCCCGACTGAGTAGAAGCCTCCTGACTAATATCAGACGTACTTCCCTTGCTCTCGATAATGGCATTCAGATAACCAACTGGATCAGTTTGCTTCAAGAGTGCTAAGTCTTCTTTTGACCTATGCTTTGCTGAGGTGGTAACCTTTGCAACAGCATTGCCTTGGGGTTGAGGCTGTTGAGTAGAATTTGCCTCGACTTGACTTTCTTCGACTTGAAGATCAGCAGTACCAGCATCGGCATGACCTCCTTCGTCATGTTGTTCCTCCGACAGATCAACCACTTGAATCTCTTTTGGTTGTTACTCTTCTATTTGTGGATCTTCTGTTTGTTGTTCTTCTGTCTCAGCATTGGCTTCATCTGTTTCAGCATTGGCTTCATCGTTCGCCAAGTCTTTTTCTTGTGGCCTACTGAGTTCAGCAGAATCTAACGTTTCAGAAGTCTTTGGCGCTGAGCTTTCAGTGGTTTCCTGGGAAAAGCAGAAGAAGAATCTTCTAAGTTAGGAAGGGACATAATCGAACGTGGGTATCGACACCTGAGTTAAAAAAGGGTCAAAGAAATTACCTGCAGAGGAACTTCAGCCCCAGGGCTGGAATTGTCGCTTTCGACAGGTTTATTGAGAAGAACATTTAGTTCCTCCTCCGTTGGCTCTTCAATAATTACTGGAGGTGGCCTGGGTTTTCTCCCAACAACCTTTATTCTGATTGTTCGAGTCTCAGGAGAGGGAACATCCTTCTTCAGTTTTCGTCTTTTTAGAGGGGCGGGGGGAGAGTCATCTTCTTCGTCACTCCCAGATTCGACCGTCAGAGCAGGTCATTTCTTGGTGAAGGTGCCTAAAAACCAATTGGAGTTCGATTTAGAAGCTACATTGAAAGTCAGAATGTTAAAGCCAGAAGAAAATAATAAAAGTCTGGTTACCGGTGCAGAAGGCTTTTTTGAAGGACCTTCCCCCTGATGGCTTGTTGTAGTCTTCGCCGGTGCTATAGTCTTTGCCGGTGGTGGAGGTTTTGTCAAGGGACCTCCTCCCTGATGGCCTTCTGCAGCTTTCTTGGCTGCAGGCTTTCGAACAACTGAAAGAAGACAAAATAATTAACAGGCTGCCAGTCGAAAGGGAAAGACAAAATAATTTGGAAGAATGAACTTACATTTCTTTATTTTGTCCAAGACAAGAACAAAAGACTTCTGAAGTTCGTCCACGAAGTCCTTCTCGTCGAAGAACTCTTCAGCGTAGTAACTTTTCCACCACTCTTCGAAGGATGGTGAGCAGAGAAAGTTAAGTTGATAGTCGAACAACGAAAGAACTGTTCGACCAACATACCTGCCGATATGCTTAGTGGCAGCGTCTTCAGTGTAGTCGTTGCAAAAGTATAACATAGACTTCTCCCTGGGAAAAATAGGAGAAGGAAGTGTTTGAATGATACCAAACTGGCGGGAAACCAAGTTTGGTTGATATGCGATCAGGCTCAAGTGAGTCTTGGAGCTCTTGAATCGCAGGGGCATTATTCTTGGTGTGAGAAATGCTTCCCACACTGTTGTATGTTCTTCAACCTGAGGGCCACTTGACGACTTAGGATGGGGCCTCGTGAACCACTCTGGACCAACCTTTCGTCGAGCAAAGGGAGCCATGGTCGAAACAAATTCTTTCCTTTTTGCAAACATCAAGACGAAGTTTGTAAAAGTTTGTTGAAGCTCCAGCCCATCTTCAGTTGGGGTCAGCAGAGCCAATCTGGTGCCTTCGATGCACCTATTTGCTATCTCCGGAGCTTGCTCATTTATTTGAGTCTTCTGAAGTAAGAAAGACTCGAAGGTGGCATTGAGCCACAGCTGAAGTAGCCAAAAAGGTCCTGCAAGCAGCAGACTGGCTCTGTTCTCGATGATCTTCAAAAGAGTCGCTCCGCTGCTAATCGACTCGTACAGATTCGCCAAGATCAATTCTGCCAAACAGATATTTTGGCCATGGTGGAGTTGGGTGGCGAGGGTGACCATCTTCTTTGTCACCTGTAAAGACTTTGTGCAAAACACAAAGCGTGGCAGCCATAAGGCTAGAAACGCGATATGCTCTACATCCGATACAGTGGCCGTCGACTTATCGTGGTAATGGTTGATATAGGTGGTGTAGGTTGGTTTTGTGGCAGAGAATCCAATCTGATCCTCCGACATTTCTTCTGGGTCGAAATAATCCCCAGTGGGTCGAAGGCCAGTGATGGCAGCCACGTCGAACAGCGTGGGTGTCAGCATTCCACAGGGAAGGTGGAAGGTGAAATGAGTGTAATCCCAGAAGAGTAAGGAAGCTATCAACATTTCTGGGGAGTAGTTGAGACCCGTCTTCGACAACATAACTAGGTCGAATATCCCCAGGTCTTTCCAGATCGAAGCCTGGCTTTTCTCCATTTTTCCAGCCAAGCACTGTAGTCAGGAGTGAGGCTAGGGCTAGACCTGAAAGCCCTAACACCCCTATTGAAGAAGCGAAGATCAATTTTCTCCTTAGCGGGATCTTCGTTATCCTCTGCATCTTTCTTAGAGCATCCAACAGGTTTGAGCTTTTCGAGCACTGGAAAGAAGCTTTTGATCTTCATGGCTTCAGCGATGCTTGGGTTGAGCGGGCCAGACATGGCGAAGATTTGGTTGGAGTATCCAACCGAAATCATGAGTTGGTGTGAATAAGCATCACGTTCAGCAATGTCTAGGGGCTCAGGAACCCTTCGTTGGCCTGTAGGAGTAACTACGGGGGCAGTGGAGAAAATCTTAGGTTTAACATTTCTGGAGGGGATGTTAGAACTAGGAGCGGTGGAAGAACCGGACGCCATTGTTGATGTTAGGGTTGAAGATGAAGTGAAGAACAAGTTGTTTGCAAAGTTTGCAGAAAGTTTGTATTCAACAAGGAAGTTTGAAGGCAAGATAGCGTGAAAAAGTCCCACAATGGGTACTTGACGCTATTTATAGTAGTTGGGAAATCCCCAAATTCGAGGCCATTTAATGCCATTTAATGTTGCAGAAGATAGTGGGACACGTGGCGTCCCCCTGTTGACATAGCCGTTCTGCAGAAATGAAAGGGTGCAGCGTGCGCCCTCGTTTTTGGGAATTGTCATGATGACAATTTGTGAAAAGACATTTGGCACGCTGCACGCCGTACTGAGGTGACGTCTTAGGTACGGATGAAATGATGGCTTTTTCTTGGGATTGTCAGTGGTTGGTAGAAGACAAAAAAGTGCACAATTTAATTTGTGACTAAGAATGAAAAGACAGGTGTCGAATGGAGTTTCAAAGAATGCCTTTTTCTTTTCAGAGTCGAAATAAGGCATTCTTGGGGGAAATTTGTTGGCTCCTAAATTTGACACCCTTGTTTTTATTAATATCAGCCATTAAAGCTGAAGGATGGTTTCGACCAGCTGGGTCTGTCGAAATGCCCATCAGAAGATGGCAATGTACTTAGAGAATTTCTTCCAAGGGAGAATTTGGTTGCCTTCGACGTCGAAGGTGTGGCTCGTCGAAGATGCCTCTCGACGAAGGTGTTCGATTGATCATAGTGGGACGGTTTGACATTCAAACGTTTGGAGGGAAAACGGTTCCCAGCGGTTACCAAGTGCAACGTGCAAAGATCTGGAGCGTCGAACGCTGAGAACGTGCCAAGTGGAGTCATCTCGAAGCAGTGTAACTGCCCGACGATTACTTGGGATGTTTAGTATAAATATTAGTAGTTCACGCAGTTTTTCGCGTGTGTTCACAATTATATACAAGTCACTCATATAGATTCGAGTATCCAGCGTGTGAGAAAGAATTGTTGAGAATGTATGTGTGAAGCACCACTTTTATTAATCAAAGTCATTTATTTTCCAGAAACTTTACTTGTTTTCTCCTTTACTTTTCCAGTCGAAAGCCTTTATTTTCAAGCCTTCCTTTATTTTATCAAGTTCTCTTCTTCATGCAATTTACATTCTTCATGCAATTTACTTAAAACTTCTTTATTTTCTCGTCATTTACCCATTACCAAACTTAACCAAAACCCCAAAATCAACCATGTCTTAGGATCAATCTGATCGATCCTGCGAGTCACCAAATAAGTAACCATTTGGAAGATCAGCGGTTGTTTACCAATTCCCACGGTAAACAACAGGAAGCAACACGCCATGTGGAAATAAAACACGAGGTTAGAGGGATTCAATGATGGAAAGAACGAGATGAAAGACATAAGAGAAAACTTTGAAGAAAGAAAAGAGAGAATTGAGAAATTCTCGAGAGAGAATTTTAATCTCGGAGCGATCTTGAATTCATATTTGATTTATTTTAGACTTATCTAATATTTACCTACAAATAGTATTTGTTAGTCACTATCTCATTAATAAGTGATAACCCTCAGATTTCATACATTTAAAGAAAAAAAAACTAAAATATAAATAAAAAGTTAATAATATCACTGCATAAAAAAAGCATTTAATAATTATCGCATTAAGTCAGTTCAATTAATAAATATGCAGAAATATCAATTAAAAAAAAAGCAAATTAGATTCCACGATTTGTTACTTATTCATCATTTCAACTACTAAGCTACTTTTAAAAAAACCATTTAATCATTAAAAAATAATATTATTTTTTCTAAATTTTAAAACTATTACAAGTGAATTTTGATATACTTTAATGATTGATGTTATTTTTTATTTTTTGATGGATGATTGATGTTATTAGATCAACATAGCAATAACAAAATCCAGATTGCTAACCATATTCACAAATGACATTACTCGCTTCATTCATCTACAACACCCTTCTTAACTCCACCTTCCTTTTTCCAAACCCTTGATTCCAATTCACCGATTCACTCGCTCATCACGGCGATGGCAACGGAGAGATTCTCTTCTCCGCCAGCCACATCGCAGGAGGAAAACGCTCTGTAAGTACACGCTCCGATTTTAGTTTCGTCTATTTTAGTTCCCAATTTTCAATTTGTGAAATCATGCTCTATGATTTGATTTCGTGTTTTGCATTGATGTAGCTTTCTGGATATACTTCATGAAGCTCCTTTGTTTGCTCATCGCAAGCCTGCGAGGATCGTTGGGAGTGTTTTCTATTGCATACTATTGGCAAGTTGATTTGATCATTCTTGATAATCTTTGATGATGATGATTTTTAATTTTTGTTGAATTTGATAGTTTGGCCTGATGATAATTTAAGAAAGTAAAATTGATTGAGTATAATTATCGTGCGCGCCTTTAATCTGAAGTGTGTGTTACGTAGGTTTGTTGTGTTGAGAATAGTATAATAGTTTGATGATTTGTTTATTGTTTGTTTCATTTTAGGCAGGTTATATTACTTTGGCTGTGGGAGCTCAGTGGATATTTCGTCCCGTGCAAGGATTGATTTCTCCTGTGTTATGTAGTTGTGATGTTCTTCTTATGCTGTTGACAGGTGGGTTTGGAACTGGAAGCAATGTGTTTGGTTGTTCTTAGTTCTTTTATTTGGATGTGCATAGTTTTCTGATTGGGATGTTGCTGAGTTTTTTAGGAAAAAGTTATGTCATAATTCTAGGCTGATGTTCATTGAATTTGACTTTGGGTAATGGAATAATGTTTTCTGCATTGTTGCTGTTTTATTCTTGAAAGAATTTCTACTGTTGGTAAAGTATTTTTTTTCATTAAGTTCAAAAAGTTGTTTCATTTTGGAACCATGAATCCGAATGCTTTTATGACGATGTTCCTTCTTTCTGTTAATGTGTGCTGCAAACTTTGTTCTGACAATTTCAGATAACTAGTAAATGTTTTCCAATTTTAAATTTTATTACTTTAAAATGTCAAAGAAGAACTCCTGCAGAGTATTTTACTTACTAAAGAATGGTGATGGTGATGGTGATGGAGCAGTCTAGCAAATCGGAGTCCTAATGCACCCCCTTGATCTCAACTTTAAAACTATATTTGTATCTTTCTTCATAGCTTGAATTTGATAGAAATATGTAATTGTTATTTGTTGCATTGATATGGCTACTGACTAGTTGTACCCTTGTTGAAATTTTTAAAAGAGAGAAACTAGTAATAAGGAGAAAAATCATATAACTTTATGATTGATTTTCACAATAGCCATTTAGTCCAATAACGTGAGGGTGAATATCCTCCCATGGTTAACTAAGAGTGGCACCTAATAAAATCCCTACATTATTCAAACTCAAGTGCAAACAATGCTTTGGAGTTTATGTTTTCTGTGGTGGATTAAACAGGCTAAAAGCCCCTTTGACATTTGCATTATTGCGTTTTTCAATGGTAATATGTAGAATAATACTATTTATCTAGCTGAATAATCTTAATAAATGTTATTTTACTAAGCATTAAAAGCTTCTGCAGTACTGCTAGTTAAGATTTAAGGCACATTTTTATCGGGGTTCATATGCCGTGCCTTTACTGTTTCAGGAATCTTTCAACAATATCTAGTTTATCAAGTGCATAAGATACGGTTGCAGGTAATCCATTCAATTGCTAGTACTTTTTGGTCACAGTAGTATATTTGTTTATCTCTTTTATTTGAAAGCATTGACTGGTAGAATATAACTCTGGAATCTGAAAGTTCAACAGTTAGATCTATAAAACATTAAAATTACCAAACGAAATTTTGCTACTAAGATCTTTGAAGGTTTCTTTTATATTTATCGTGTTCCTGTTTAATTCTGTTTTTAATTATTGATGTGATTTCTCAGGGCTATTATAGTTTCAGCCAGAAGTTGAAATTTATTGTTCGCATACCCTTTGCCATTACAGCTTATGGTACGCATTTCAGTGTTTGGACTTTTTTAACTTTTAGAAGATACTTACCTTGTGAAGTCAATTGATACGAATGTGAAACTGTCAAGTTCCAAATCAACCCAAGAGCTTAAAATGTAGGAGGCACATGAATGTTTTCAACAAGCATATTATGAGTTCATAATTATAATGCAAGTATTCTCAACAATTTGGTTTAATTCCAGGTACTGCTGCAATGCTACTTGTTATAGTCTGGAAACCTTACACTGGTTTTCTGTCAATCTCTGCAATATTGAGGTATTATCATCATTTGGTCATACTTGTCCGTCCATTTAAGACATTTTCTATGGGATATATTCAATGAAACTAAGAAATGGAATATCAGCAAGAGAATGTTGCTTCTAAATATGAAGGAGTGGTTAATGTGAATCTTATCAATATAAAATCGCTTATAAATTTGTTTGATGATTAAATGCTACAAATTAGTATTTTTTTTGTTGGAGACGGCGCATGTTGCCATGAAGTACAACAAAGACCGAGGCTTTTTTGCATGTTTCATTGAATGACTATTCCTAATCTTGTAATAGTATTATTGTAAGATGGCTTTGCTAGTAGATAGTGATGTTTGATACGTTGCGATTTTTGGAACTTTTAGCTGCAACATACTTGGTTGGGGATAAAGAGTTTGGTTGTTTACTCTTGTTTAGGCTTGTCAGAATTTGTACTTTTAACTTGACCGTAATCAAATGAAATTTGAATTTTCATATCATGGAGTGATTTTTCTTGATTAATATTGGCTGTTCTTGATTTTCCTATTTATTTCGGATTGAGTATATGCATCCCTATAAATAAGGATTAGTGTAGTCTATTGTATGAAGTTGATATCAATCAAGATATTATCAATAATATTCAGACTCTTTATATTTCTCTTATCATTTTATCTAAAATTTCACAACTACAACATTTACCTTCTGAGGTGTTTGTCTTATTTTTGTTGCCTGAAAACTCTGCAGGATTATTATGGTAGTCGAAGCATTATGTGCTGGATGTTTTATGAGCCTTTATATTGGTAAGTTATAATCCTTTTGTATTTTTATTAGAGGGTCTTAGCTCGAAATTTTCTATTAAGATTAACTTCTTTTATGGTGCCAAAAAATTATATAAAAAATAATAAATGTTAAACATGTATAAGAATAAGTACACTTAAAGGAATACTTTCAGCCTTCAGGTGCCACGGCCGCTCAATGAATGATAAAACTGGGAACATTTATTGATATGCAGTAAATTATATGCCGAAATATTAAGCAATTTTAAGATTTGTTCTGTTTGAAAAACGGTAATGTAATGGGTGAGGCTTGGGGAGGGGAGGACAGCACCCTAATTGGCTGAAAAATCTTGAAATGTTTACTGCGTTATACCCATCTACCGTACTTGTTGAGTTAAATATTTATGAATTTTTTTCAAACTCACCTTACTTTTATAATTATAAGATCTTATTTTTGTATAGTAGTTATCGTAGTATAGTTTTATGTAATGTAATCCTTTCTATGTGCATTTTTTTTACATGCAGGTTACATACACCAGTACAATTCATTGAACTCCCATCCTGATGTTCTGAAGTCCTTATATTCACCACTACAACCAGCAAGTTCTTTGGAGGGTCTAAGGCAATCACTTTGTAATTTAGTTTCTTTCGTAATTAACTTCACAATTCAATATCCATGTTTAATTCTCAAACCACAAAATTAGAACTTAGTTTGGCAAACTGTATTCTGGATGCATGGTCTACTTAGTACCTTTTAGGCATTCCATTCATGTTATGCCAAAGCGCAACTGCAAATCACATTTGCAAACACATCAATCATTGGGTTCCTGGATTGTGAAGAACCACACAATTAGAAACGTTGTCTGGCAAACCATAGTATTTCGAGTGCACACCAATCTACCTTTTATGCATATGTTACACAATAAAATCCAAATTACATTTGCAAACACATATGAAACACTGGGTTCTTGGATCGTGAAGAATGTAAACTGTGTAATTAGTATATTGATGCAACAGGTACCATGATGGTAGACTCTCTGATCAGCAAATGGCTTTGTTGCAATATCAGCGTCAAAATCTTCATTTTTTAAGTGAGGAGGTAACTCAGGATTTGAAGCATTCGTTAATTATTTGATTTTATACACTTTAACTCGTACTGACAGTGTAGATGTTTTACTGCACATAAATTAGTTAATGAACATTTTGTCTTGCAGATTCTTCGTTTGCAAGAGTCTTTAAACAAATATGAACGAACTGAAGATCGGAGCACACCTCAGGTAATAATGGACACAGATAAACTATTTCTCTTTCTAGTTTTATTTACTAAGTCAACTTAACTTTAATTCTTATATGTTACGTATCTTTTTTTATAATATTATGTCTATGTCTCTAACAGTGAGCATGTGTTGTGGCTTATCCAGCTAGAATATTCATTACGAGATAGAAAAGGTCTATTGAATTATTAGATTTGTTGCAATGCACTGCACTGCAATCTGAATTCATCTTGTGATGTAAACCAGAGTACCAAATTGAAGTTTATTCAATTTCTCTATTCAAAATCCTTCCTGCTAAAGTACAGTTTTATATTCAACATTGACAGTTGAGTTCTTGAAGATTGGTTAGCATCTAGTTTTCAATTGATACTCGTAGCTCTACAACCAATTTTTCCATTTATAGGGAGAAAATTGCTTTATTGCTCTTTGACCATGCTCATTTTATTTAATAACTTTTGGAATATATTTATAGTGGAGGGATATCGTAAATCTTGTTTCAATTACCTGTAAACTTTCAATTACCTTTAAACCTATTATCGTTGATGTCATCTACTCCATTGATAGTTGAACCATTATTTTACATAGGAACGACAATGTCTCAAGTTTAGCAGAGCTTAGACTTGAGAGACTTATATGTCATGTCTGGAAAAACCTGATAAAATTTGAGCCTAATTTCTGAACTTGAGCTGTTAAGCCACTCAAGCTCACTGAACCAAGCTTGAACTCACTTGAGACTTGAGAGACTTATTCATGTCAGGATTAACCTAATAAAATATGAGCCTAATTTCTGAACTTGAGCTCATAAGCCACTCAAGCTCACTGAACCAAGCTTGAACTCTGTTCAATTTCGAGCCTTGTAGGCTAAATCACAATGAGCTAGGCTTGAATTGTATAGTTTAATCAAACCAAATGTACAGTTCACATAAGCAAGTAGTGAAAATCTCCATACATGCATAGTTAACAACTCTTGGTTTCCGTTAACATTTGTGACTCCATATTTTTCTTTTTGTGGGAATAAATTGCTTATGTTTCAGGTTGACCTTGCTCATCTACTGGCAGCTCGTGATCAAGAATTGCGTACAATTTCTGCAGAGGTGACTATTATCTGTTTTATCTAGCACGTGATCTTTTTTTTTATCCCAGCCTGAAAATTATGGCTAGTCTGGAATGTTCCAAGGACACCATTTATCATGAGATTCTATGACTTGTGAGATCCCATGTGTGAATAGAGCAATTAGTTAAATATTTTGCTCTAGATATTTATGACTCAAGTTTTTATCAGAACTCAGTTTTACTTATGTTAACTTCCAAAGAGAATGATTTTTTTTAATGCTACATCAAATTCGGTATACTTAAACATTACAATCATTCAGATATTGACATTTATTTATCTGAGAAATTAGTGTATTGTTGAGTTTAACACGGAATCAATAAATCAGTGATTTGAACAACATCTCTTATCCCATCCCACTATCTCATTATTTGAATATCTACATGAATTAGGGGATTCCACATTGAATGAGGATATAGCATGATAAAATGTTATTAAGTACGAGACATCCATCACCTTACAAACTGATTTTGTAAGGTTGAGTTGGATCAATCCAATTTTTAAGAATTTAACAAAATGAATTTAGTCATGAGATATTCAACTCCATTTACTCAAAACTAAAGGTATCCTTGCTTGAAATTTATGTTACAGATGAACCAAATGCAATCTGAACTAAGGCTTGCCCGGTCCTTAATTGCTGAAAGGGACTCAGAGACCCAACGTGTCCGGATGACCAACAATCAGGTATCTTGCAGGTTTTACTAATACTAAAAAGGAGTTAATATGTTTTTTATTCCTACAATATTCTTAAATTTGATGCTCATAGTAGAGTGCTGGCTATTATCATGTCACAGTATGTAGAAGAGAATGAAAGACTCAGAGCTATTTTAGGAGAATGGAGCACCCGAGCTGCAAAGGTATTATTCGTAATAACTGTAACACAGGAATATCCATCAAGTATTAGAACAATCATTTAAGCTTTTATGGTTGTTACAATGTTCTGCTAATACCATTTATTAATGATATTTTGAAAGCTTGAGCGAGCGCTGGAGTCCGAGCGAATGTCAAATATTGAATTACAAAGGAAGATTTCATCGCTAAGAAGCCAAACACATATGTCAGTAGAAGCAACTGATCAAGGAGGTTAATTCACTAGCTAGTTCATGTGGAGCATTTCACTTTGTTCTCTCTGTTAAAAACATGCAGTGAATTTGTATCCGCAGAACCAACGCTCTTGTGTGGAGAACCATTGTACATACTATATCAGATTCAAACAGGGCTTAACTTTTGTAGTCATTGAGGCAAATATGTTTCATCTTTTAATTTCGTTTCTTTCTATTACAGGTGTTCGATTTTATTTTTTTTGGTAAGGGTGTTCAATTTTATTTAATACAAAAAAGAAAAACTATCACAGCTTAATGTACTTTTTCTTTTTGAGAGAATAGGTAATAAATATTTGGACAAAACTCAAGTGTTTTTTAGTTGTTCTTAACTTAAAATATTCTGTGGGGTTATAACAAACATAAAGAAAATTATGTGTAATGGGTGAATTTTTTTATAGTAATATCTAGGTATTGAAAAAACAATACATAAATAACCATGTTTCAGAGAAAATTACGCAAATAACTATGCTTTAGAATATACAACAATGGAGACGTCATTTCACTTGACGCATGCACCGACCTTTTTGTCTTAGGTGCCACCTCACTTGGCGCATGTATTTTGTTTTAGTCACGTGAGATGACACATGTATTCTAATAAGGGGAGGAGACACCATCTGAGATGACTACTACGTGCAATTGTGTTTTCTATAAATAAAACACCTATTTCTCCATCATTCTTCACACTTTCTCACATTCTCTTCTCATTTTCTCTCTGTTCTTTGTATCATGATATTTCTCATGATTTGCATCAGAGATGAATACGTTAATTTATCGGCCAGCAAACCTCTGATGAAAATGAAATTTTGGCACATTCACTCCATGGAGCGTCTGAAGAGAGAGTTGATGCAATGACTAGAGGGTGACATTGATGTTGGAGAATAAATTAGAAGGATCCAGAGAAGAAGAACAACCACCTCACTTGCAACTGGAAGACCTCAGTTTTGGCTGGAGGAAGTCAAAACAAACAGAGACGTAATGATGATGATGCATGACTCAAATGAAATTGTTTTGACGGTTGTAATTTCTTAAATGTTTTATCGTGTTTTTATTTGTTGTTTGCGTATGGTTTGTTGTAACAAATGCGAAAAAAGTTACATTTAGATCTTAAAAAAATGTAGATAGTTTGCATACAATTTTTATGTTGTCGAGCTTGTAGCACGAGTGGGATAATTTTTTCGATTGTGTTCGACCTGACGGCATATATCACACTTTCTTTCTAGCTTATCAAGTGAGTCCATTTCAGTTGTGATACGCTTGCTTTTGGGACGACCTTTTTTATTTCTTCGCATTTGATCATTATGTCATATTATTTCTCCTTTGTATGCAGACCAATAATCAGGTTTCACTATCATTGAAAAGCCATTGTTGTATACGTTGAGTAAGTTTTCAGACTTGTAAATGGGAGATAGAAGTAGTAATGCATCTTGATGAGTATACGCACATGCCGCAATGACATGAGAGCAAGACACACGAAATGCTTGAAACTTTCCACAATCACACCAATAAGATGGTAGTATAACCTTATAATCTTGTTTTGGCAGTCCCTCGTTATGGTCGATTGTCTCTTTGACAATGAAGTTGTGGCTATGTCGGTTGAACCTTATAACAAGATGAGTGTTGACTTTGGCACTTTCTGTCTTAATATATTTCATGCAGCTTTTATTCCATAGTTGTCCCGATTGTAAGACCGCATTCCATATTTCATCTCTTTTTGCAAACAACGAAGCCATCCTAAAATATGTTGATTTCACCAAAGCGGCTACTGTGATGTTTCGTATGCCTTTGAATACACCGTTAATTGATTCAATAAGATTTGTTGTCATGTGGCCCCATCGTTGTCCATTGTCGTATGACCTTGTCCATTTCTCCACTGGAATATTATCAATCCACCTACCTGCATCTGAATTTGATAATCTGATATCGTTGCGATAATGTTTGAACGAAGTTTGTGTTAATGCGTACCCCGAGTTCATAATTGTTTTTCTAAGAGCCTTGTCTTTGATCTCCCTCGTGAAATTTTGTACGATATGTCTAATGCACTAGACATGCGTAGAAGGAGGATCATGCCAACTATTTGCAGGATTATTGCGTGTACTCTTAATAGATGCATGTCTGTCAGAGATCAAATAGAGATCAGGTTGTGGAGCCACAAGTGTTCGGAGATTCTTGAGAAAGAAACTTCAAGCACCATCAATCTCTCCCTCGACTAGAGAAAAGGCAATTAGAAAAATGTTGTTGTTACCATCTTGTGCAACTGCCATCAGTAGCGTGCCTTTGTATTTCCTGTACAAACATGTTCCATCTATTTAAATAATAGGTTTGGAGGATGCAAACTCTATGATGCAAAGTTGAAAATCCAAAAACAGACGATTGAATATTCCATTTCCGTTGACAGAAGTATCATCTGGGGCATACGTCGGTAATGTTTTTATAATATAAATAATTCCAGGAGAATACATCTGAAGTGCATGCAGGTAGCACGATAGTTCTTTGTATGACTTCTCCCAGTTTCTATATATCTTTTCAATCGCCTTGGTCTTTGCTAACCACGCCTTTCTGTATGATGGAGTATAATTGTATACTGTAGTGATGTGAGAGATTATGGTTTTCACCTTCAATGACAGATCATTGTTGAGGAGAGGTAAGATTTCTTGACATATTAGATCATAATTTAGTTTACGGTGATCTTGTGATTGAGTAGAATTAACGCATATGTGGGTGGACATAAAACCTATCACTCAATAATCACCTCTCAACCTGTATGATGCAGTGAGCCTAAACATATAATCTGGATGAACACACTTGTGCTTGTACCTTTATAGATTTACCGGATCTACCTTAAAATCGCCAGAGTTTAACATGTGAAACTTTTTTATAACTCGCATACAATCTTCTCTTGAACGGAATTTGTCTTTCTCTTTTAAATTTTCATCTGACTGCATATACAGGTTGAAAAAAAACTGATGACGGTTCATATCCGCCCATGTTGAAGTTTGTCATGTGTGAAGGTGGTGTGTAGATTTCATTTGGAGGTATTTCAGGTAGCGCATCATCTTCAGAATCATCGTTGACCATGTTGTCAAACTCTAACTCTTCATCTTCCTTTTCTTCGTCAACGACATCTACTTATGCTTGTTTTCCTTCGATAGGATCAACCACTTATGACTGAGTTGGTTGTGACAACTGAGCCTCTTGGAGCACAATGTATAACTCAATCGAGTCGTACCTAGAGTACTCATGACTAGAAAACATATTTTGAAGGTCCTCGTCATCTTGAACCTCTACCATATAAAATATTATTTAGTTCTCACAAAAAAAAACTGATTTTGATAGAAGATGCGTGTCACTGGACCTCGTCCAAGTTTGACCTCTAATTGTTTTTTGAAATACAAAAAATTGGCTTTTTTATTTAAACAAAATCAGATATTATCAGTGTCTCTAAATAAAAAACCATAGGTGGGAAAAATGTACGTTTCACCATTGAAATGTGCACTGATAACGTATTATGGTGTAGAGGACATTGTGTTTGGTGTTTGAATGTTTGAGTGTTGATAACATTATATGCATGTAGGATAAATAGGTTTCATTTGCCTTGAACAAGACAAAAATGCTCCACCACTGATTCACCAATTGAGATGGTGAAATCTATTAATTTTGGTCTTATGTGTCGTTTGGGATGGCGCATCCCTACAGGTCATGCCACCTTACATGCATGCATATAACACTGTCCCTATGCTTCCATCATACACTGCACCTACTCTACATGTAGGCCCGTCCCACGCCAAACTAACTGGTGCATGCTCTTTAAAATGCATGTAGGCGCCATTTAACTTGGCTCCAACATGACATGTATCTTGCATGCATGCAACCACAAACCATCTTATTAATCCACTTTTATATGAATTCACCTATAAATATGGCGCCTGAGACACTTATTTTGCATCACCAATCATCACACTCTCTGATACAAACTCTTTCATTATCTTATACAATTTCAAATATGATTCTTCTTACGATGAGCGATTCTCACAGAGACACAAGAGACGACATTGTGGCATTTGTAATTTTCTATAATCTCTTAAATATTCTTTTATATTAATATATTTTTTATAAAATTATTATTAAATTAGTCATCTTATGGACTCTTACATTATTTACATTTTGAATTTAGGATACTAAAAGATTTAGAATTCGCTCACATAACTATATTACTCCCGACCGTTGATCGTGCCCTATCTGAAATATGCCGGTTTTAGAAATGTTATAAAAATCTCAAACTGTACGATTGATTCCAAGTTTATACTTGCAATATTGGAAAGGTGAAGACCCGAGACACACATATTTCATCTACCAATAGGTGAATGTACCGCCACACTAGAGAACATTTACATGTTGTTGGGTCTCCCTATCAATGGTAAGACAATGAATGGGTCGATTCAACAACCCAATTCTCTATGCAAAGAATTGTTGGGCAATTATATGGTAGAAGGTAATGGTTCTAGGGGCAAATGTATACTACTAACCGAACTTAAAAAGTATTATGCGACTTCTGAGTTGAATGAAAATAGCTAGCAAGAATAATTAAAGCTAGAAGTTATATGATGATACTATTTGGAAGCTTGTTATTTCCTGAAAGTACAAAGAATAATGTGAGTTATTTCTCGAAAGTACATGGTATAGTTAGGGTTCTGCTGTTTTAACCCATCTATACAGTTCTTTGTGTAAAAACGTAACAAAAGATAAATGTACTTTCTATGGATGCGCTTTCTTACTCCAAGCATGGGGTTGATGGAGAATGGAGTCCCTAAAGCCTGCCAACAACAATGTATTCATTTTCCCATACACAACAAAGTAAGTCGATAACTTAAATAATTTATTATTCATTCTTTCGCTAAATAAATGTATAAAATTAACTATTATTTCATTCCTTTAGGTACTTTGTAACGGGTATGGATTACGGCCATAATCCAAGATTAAATGTCGCT